TTGGTGAATGTTCAATGTGTACTTGGAAAGAAAGTATATTCTGCTGTTGTCAGGTTGAGTAGCCTATAAATGTCAATTAGATTCAGGTCAAGTAGTAGGAGGGCTGGAGGGAAAAAAGGTAAACTGACCACTAGTTCCATGGTACTGAAAATTCTAGTCTTCTTCCTCTATACACCTGTTGTCATTTACTTTTCAGAATTCTCAAATAGCTGCTTCAGGTTTTATAGCTGCTTTTAGTAGGAGAAACAGGGTAGAGTGTGCTTCTTACATCTTACCTGGAACCAGAACTTGGTCATAGTTTTTAATTCAGTAATCCCTCTCTGGAAGAGCTATTCTTAGGAGATAATCCAGAATAAGTATATGTGTGTGCATTTACATAATAGCAATATTTAGAAATAATTTAAATGGTCAAAATATGAGAATAGTAAATGCATTACAATAAAATATAATTTACTGTTTAAAATTATAAGTATGATAGCTATATAGAAGTAATGAAGAGTGTTTGGGAAATGATGTTGAGGGAAAAAAAGGTAGATCATGAACTTGGATATGCCTTACAATTATTTCTATTTAAAAAACTATGTATATGTATTAAAGGAACATTTAAAAATGAAAATAATTTGTGAAATTATAAATAATTTTTAAAAGCAACATTTTATTCTGTCTTAAAATTGATTTAAAAATAACTTTAAATGTTCTTATAAACCTTCTAACTGATTTTTAGCATATACCTTCCCCTCAGTTTTCCTACCCATAAAGCAAGTTTATGCATCTCACCAGGTTTGTGAGGATACAGTGATGAATGTCTTTGCAAACAGTGCAATAATTCACAATCGAGGTAAATCTTATTCCTTAAACCTCTTCCACCAACTTTCCACACTAGAAAATCCCACACACTGTGCTGTGCTTTCCTCCTTGCAGAGACCACAGAATAGATGGGGCCCTTCAGTTGGGAGCCCAGCATGGAATATTGTTGTTCTGGAATAGATACATCCCAATTAATTAGGTGGGGATAACGAAGGGTCAAGTGAGCACGCTCCACTTGGGGCACTGGAAATCAACCCAGCTTCGTATGGAGCTGGTATCCTGGTCTTACTAACTCTTACCGTTTTGACATCATCTTCAAAGACTTCTCGGGCCTCTTCGTAGGAGCAAGTCTCTTCCATACACTCTCTTTCAAGGTTTCCTTTCTTTATCTCTTCTAAAAATGAATTTGCCCTCCTTGCCCTCTGCAGGACGCTGTTGGCATGTTCCCGAGTAATGAATACTAGAAGACAGGGAAAGACATGATTTGAAAGCAGCTGTATTCAGTTACCTGCTCTCCCCTACAACCTGCAGGATCATGTGTACATCCGTGCTGCAAAAGGCTGAAAACTCTCTTTCCTTACACATTGAGAAAGCTGGGAGGGAAATGCCCATCTCCCCACAATAAATTATAAAGTACCCGTCGTAGACCCCAAAGACCCTTCTCTGGAGAAGTAAACACATACCAGCCAATCAACCCATCAGGCTCTCTGGGCATTCAAACCCAGCTTACCCTGATATTTGATATTCTATTTGATTGTGTTTTATTGGGTTTTAAAAAAATCCTAGTCACAATCCACTAAACTGATGTCACAATTCACAGATAAGTCATAACCTGCCGATTAAAATATCCTGGGTTAGAGAGTCTCCATGCCTTTCTACAGTGTGTATTTATGACCATGTTACCCAACCTCTCTGTGCCTCCTCTGTCCCTCATTCACTGACTGCTCTCCACTTTCAGTATGATTATGGAAGGCCCTCAGGGCTCTTTTCTTGGCCCTTTGCTCTTCTCTTTCTACCTTTTTCCCACAGAACTCAGAGAGCCTCACAAAGATGACCTTCCAAGATGATGTTTTTGGTACTGACTTTCATCCTGAGCTCCACATTTTCAACTGTCTTATCATGATAGATGTCTCTCCTCATCTCAGAACTCCAAACTCCCCAAACTAAAAATGTAGGTTTTCAGAATCAAGCAGCCTTGGGTTTTAAAGTCACCTACTGCTTACTATTGGTAAATGGGAATTACACTACCCGATTTCTCAGAGTGTTTTTTTTTTAAAATGTATATAAAACTCTTAGTGTTGAATATGGTACACCCTAGGTGCTCAATAAATGTTAGCTTCATTCCTCCCTCAAATTACTCCCCCTTCCAATTCCCCATTTTTTCCAGTGACAGCTACATTACTTAAAACACAAGACTCAAACTTGTTATTTATTGATCCCTTTCCATTACTCTTCAAATTCACTACTAAGTTTGTTCTGTAAACTATTTTTTTAAATTTTTTTTTTACTGTGGTGAATATATACACGATAAAACATACACCAATTCAACATTTTCTGCATGTACAACTCAGTGACATCGATTACATTCTTCCAAATTGTGCATCCATTCTGGCTATCCATTCCCAAATTATCCCACCACCGTTACCATAACCTCAACAGCCCGTAAGCAAAAACTCCTCCTTTCCCCTCCTCCTGGTCAGCACTGAAAATCTTTGGTTTCTGTATATTTGCTTAATTCATGTAAGTGAGATCATGCAGTATTTGTCCTTTTCTGACCGACTTATTTCACTCAGCATAGTGAACAAGGTTCATCCATGTTGTGGTATGTATGTATGAGGGCTTTGTTTCTCTTTACGGCTGAGTAGTAAGTCCTATAAACTCTTGCTTTGAAATACAGCTCCCAGTTTATCCTGCATGTCCCTTCACATAGCCACTTGGCTCTTCCTGGCTCTCATGTTGGAATTAACAACCTCAGGCCTGTATCTGAGCCTTAGTCCAGTGTTTCTCAAATTGTGACCCACAGTCCACCTGCATCCCTGGATCGGGGGGCTGGAAATCTGTATTTTAATATAGTTCCTGGATATTCCAATCTACACAAGTTTGAGTACCACTGCCTGAGTCCCTCATTCCTTCCACATGGCCTACACCCTCGATGCCTGATTATCTACATTTGGTTTTGTCTTCATTTCCCTAGGACCACAGTGATTTTCCATGGACTGCCTCAAGGGACCTGTTACCACTCAGCCAGGGCCTGACAATCTCACTCCACCTGGCCAGGCCCTCTTTTCTTCCTCTGATCCCCTGAAGGAACTCACCATTCCAGTATGCCTAGCCACGTCCCTGTTCTCATTGGCATTCCCATCCCTGAGTTTCCCTTCCTGCTTTTCCGCCATCGAGAATTCCCTCCTCCTCCAGGTTTCCCATCCAAACCCTGTCTTCTCCCTCCTCCTCCACAAGCCTGATCTTGCCTCTTCCTGCTACTTCTCTGACCTCTTGCCTTCAACTTTCAGCCTCACTCATCTCTTTCCCGCCACACTGGCCTCTTTGTTCCTTGAATATACCACACATGCTCTCACCCCAGGGCCTTTGCACTTAGTTTCCTCTGTCTGGAATATTCTTCTCCCAGATACCCCATGGCTCACCCCCACAAACGTCCCTCAAGAGGCCCTTCCTGACGTGGTACCTAAAGACGCCCCCACACACATCTCCCCCATCCCCTTGCCCTGCTTTCCTTTTCTTCGTAGCACTCCCAGCTCTTGACATTGTACGTCGGCAGATTTATTGCCTGTTTCCCTCAACTAGGCAGTCTATTCTGTTTATTTCTGTACCTCCAGTGTCTGGCGACATAGTATATGCTTAATAAATATTTGTTGAATAAATGAATGAATGAAGGACTAGACATCTGGCCTGGCCTCTAGGCTCAGCTTTCTGGCCCAAACTTTAGCCACCTGGGGACCTGACAGGATGGCCAACACCACAATCAAGGACAATGTCTTGGCCATCAGACGGTGTATGAGGAAGTCACCAGTTGGGCACAGCAGGAGCATCTGGGACAATTTAACTTCATTCAGGTCCATTCATACTGACAAGACAGTCCGTGTAACCTCTGTGGGCAGAACAAAGAAAGCACGTGGCCTGGTCCCTGCTTGGAGGGGCTGAGTCCAGGTCTGCATTCAGGAAACCATCTGCCAACCATGCCCAGTCACGTAAGCCCCAGAAAGCGTCCACACGTGGCAGAAAGGGTACGGTACACAGGTGCTGACGAGGGAGGGTGGGGGTGTCAAGGAGGAGGCCAGCAAGATCTAGGCTGGAGGGTTGGGGAGCATGTGACTGGGTGGGAGACAAGAGCTGTGTTATTCCAGGGGCAGGAGCAGCTTCAGTGGGGAGAACGGCTGGGTGGGAGGGGGGCTGGTGGGAGAGGAGTGGAACAGACAGTCGGGCAGACGGGGTGAGACCAGGGTATGATTGCGGTGGCCTCGAACGCCAGGAAAGGCATTTGGATTTTACTGGAACTACCGCTTCACGTGGGACCCGTGAAAAAATGGACCCCCCCCTCCCGGGGAAGGATGTCAGCAGAGCAGAAGGGCGCTGTTTGGTTCAACGTTGTTTCCCTAAATCCATTAGCCTCTCTTGGGGTTCTCCTATTCATCCTTTCTCTACTCTCTCTATTGTTTCCTCCTCTTTCCCACTTTTTACCATTGTCCTATTTCCCACATAGTTGGGTTTTCTTCCGTGAGGTGGATGTTAGTTGTTCGTCCTAAGCCTTCCTCTCCTTTCACTTTATCTAACATGTAAACAAGGCTTCGCGGCCTGCCACCTCCTCTTCTGCTCCCTCCAGGGGCTTTGCCTTGGTGTCTCCCTTTCTGAGGCCTCTTCTTTTTGGAAAGGCCCAGGGGTCCTGGATGGGCCAGAGGGCCTTGTCGGTCTAGTCCCCATCTTGCAGCTCCTTCTCTCTTCCCTGCCACGGAGGCTCCTCGCTGCCTGGTGATCATCCCCAGCCCTGGAGGTTTCTCCTCAGTTTTGGCATTTGAGGAAGAACTTCTGTCTCTCTGTCTTTCTCCCTCTCTCCCTCTGTTTCTCTCTGTCTCTATGTTTCTGTGTCTTTGTGTCCTGCGACATGCTCGTCTGACCCTCTCACCCACAGCAAGAAGCAGCTGGTTCTAAGTCTACTCTCAGCTGGAAATTATGGGAAAGAAGCCCAGGCGTTTCACACAGCCCTTGACAGGGACAAGGGGCACCCACCACCCACCACGGAGATTCTAGTGCATCACCCCCACTTCCACCCAGGGGGCAGCACATTTGCAGTTGCCCGAGGGGGTGCTTACCACTCGCCCCAGGCAGCAGAAGGCCAGCCAGCAAGGCACGGAGCAGGAGGAGGCGCAGACAGCTCGCCATGGTGTCTGGCTGAGGAGAGCCGTCTGCTGTCCACTGCTGGGACAGGCCACCCAGGGCAAGGTTCAGCTCGCACTGGCCTTCCCAGAGTGGCTCTGGTGTCCTTCTGCTTATCACAGCCTGCTGATTGGAGCATGGGGCCTGAGGGTGATGTCAGCTCAGCGCAGGTTATCACTGGGAGTCCGACCCACAGGCCAGTGCCGCCTCTGCCTCCCCCACTCCAGAACCGGGCCACCCCAGGGGACAGTCTTATCCATGCCGTCGTCCCATCAGTAACCACGTTTGGTCTCCTAACTGAAAGGTTAGTGTTTGAGTCTAACCAGAGGCACCCTGGAAAATAGCCCCCACGAACTGCTTCTGAAAGAGCACAGCCTCTGAACACCCTACAGAGCGCAGTTCTACGTGGATACACACGGGGCCGCCACGAGCCAGGGTCAACTCGACGGCAACTGATTTGGCTTTTCTTCCTGTGGTCTGCACAGGTACTCTTTGTTCTAAAAAAGAATAAAAACATCACTTTCTAGTATTCAGGCATGTTTGTATCTAATCCTTACATCAATGATAAAAGGTAAATATTATTTTTCCCATCTTTTTTTTTTCTAAACCAGGAAACTGAGGTTTGTCGAGAGGTTTAACATAAGCCTAAGGTCATCCGTGGTAGATGTGGGATTTGAACCCAGATCTTTCCACCCCAGGCCCATTGCTTCTCCCCTGGTCTGACCTGGGCCTTTTGTTCATGGACCTCACCATTCAGGTGGGTGTCCGTGCCTGCATCCACGCAGTCGCTTCTGTCACAGAGCATTCTGTTACCTGCGCCTCTCCTCCGTGTTGGTCTTGGACCCACCTTCGCTCTTCTTCCCGCCCTCCCACTTCTGGCCAAAAAACACTAGGCGCTCACAGGAGTCAGAGCCCAGGTGCTTTGCACCTATGAATCCACGGGGTTTCTTGCACAGCAGGCTTCCTATACAAGCTTCTGGGAGGAATACCTCCTTCTCTGCAGGCCAGGAGCCAACTGCTTTCTGCAGACTCGGTTGTTATCTGTCGGCCACAGATCAAAGAAACGTGAGGTCGAGAGGGGTCCTGGGCAAGCAGAGCTTCTGGACAGTGCTGTCCTCAGCCCCGCACAACTGATCATGGATGTGGACATGGGTGTGCAGGGAGCATAGGCAGAGCTTCTCCTGGACAATGATTTCCTGTCACATACCGTATTAGGTAGGCTAGGCCAGGTGGAGGAAACAGAATAACTGGAAATCTTAGTGACTTAACACAATAAAGGCACATTTCTCACTTATGCAAAGTCCAGTGCAGGTCGGCTGGCAGGGACGGATTAACCAGGAAACAAGGTAGGCACACAACTCTGATGTCATGAAATTGTTCACTACAGATTAGTAAGTAAGCACAGGTAAGCCTATGCGTACCTTCCTTATTGGGTAATCCATCCCTGTAGGATGGCCTTCTTCCATCTTGTAGTTGTGGTAACTGGGACACCAGGCCTCCAAGGTCGCTGTGGCAAGGGAAGAGAAGGCTGGAGGACTGTATGAGATGCTTTTGAGGGCCAGGCCTGGAGGCGGCTTACAGATGTCAGCCCACATCCCGTTGGCTCCGTCAAACGGCAGGATCCTAACTGACAAGCGACGTTCGTTTAGCGAACAGTCTC